TGGGCAATCCTACTTCCGTAGTGATATTGCCTCGGAAACCCAAGGAGGGGTCGCTATGAGTCGGGGCCGACTCGATGGCACACAACAACAACAACATCTAAAGCAGAAGTTCTCAAACTTGAATGTACATAAAAATCACCTGGAGAGTTTGTTAAAACACAGATTGCCAGGTCCTACCCTCAGAGTTTCTGATTCATCAGACCTGGGATGGGGCTCAAAAATTTTCATTTCTAACAAGTTCCCAGGTGATGATGATGCTACTGGTCTGGGGACCACATTTTCAGATCTACTCTTCTAGAGGTGGGTAGATTTGTTTCTGTCTTGACTTAAAAAGACAAGCAAAATGGGCACTGGCAGACAGGGAACTTCCCCTCTTGCTTTCACAATTGCAGGGCACAGAGAGTTAAGACAAGTCCGATACAGGTCTGCAGTCTTAATACCTGAAATCCTTGGGACCGTGTGTATTACAGAATTCAGAACTGTTTGGTCTATGTATATACCATATACATGCATACCTTAGAGATACTGTAGGTTTGGTTTCAGACCATCGCAATAAAGCAAATATTGCAATAAAGCAAGTCACACATTTTTGGGGGGGGGTTCCCAGTGCACATAAAAGTTCTGTTTACATTACACTCTAGTCTATTAAGTGTGCAAGAGCATTATGAAAAAGTTGTAAATGTGAGAATTACCAAAATGTGACACAGAGACACAAAGTGAGCTGCTGGAAAAACGGTGCTGACAGACCTGTTCCATGCAGGGTCGCCACAAACCTTCAATTTGTGAAAAATCCTGTATCTGCAAAGCACAATAAAGTGCAGCACAACAAAATGAGGTATGTCTGTATTAAATAACACCCAGCACATTAAGGGACAGCAACCTGGAGTCAAACCACTATTTCTACAACCAATCACATTAAGTGGGATAAGTAAAAGATTATAAATAGCCTCTCTCCAATTCAGGTCAGGTTTTACTGGCAAGTGAATTACCAAAACTTGACTTTTAGTGCTATTTGGATTTTGAATTGCAGAGAAAAGACGGGGAACCTGGACTCTTAAAACTGGAAACGTGTTTCTCTTTACTGTTCCTAATTCTTACCTGCTTTAGAACCCTTCATCACCACATGAAAGGAAATGATTTATGTTTGGAAACAACAGCAAATCATGAAAAGAAAGAAAAAGGCATGAAAGGATGGAGAAGCTTATCTCAACCTGGGCAAGCCTTTGGTTTTCAGAAGTCCGTGAAAGTGATGATGCAAAGGCAGAAGCTGACAACTGTCAGAGCTCGGAAAATGAAACTGGTTAGAAAAAGTTCCACGCAGTTAAGTTCCATTCAATTAATTGAGCTTTTGCCCCCATCTCCACCTCAAATTCCTTTGCTGCAAATAAAGTTTTTTTTTAATTATGGTTAACCTCTAGCTCATAAATCCAGACATCATAACAACTTTGTTTTAATATAATACCAGTATGTTTATTCTGTTTTTGGCTTACTTTTTACATACTGATAAAACTAGATTGGGGAAAGTTCAGTAGCTTTTGGCTCAATTTGCAAAACAAAAGGCTCTTTGAAGTAAATTGGTTTTTAAAAAAGTGGTTAACATTTAACCTACTATTTGAAAAGAATGTAGTACAATACAATTATCACAAACAGACCAACAAAATAACTTTTTAATTTTGGAAAAGGTGCTAAGTAAGTGTGGTATGGATGTATTTACACCCCCTCCCAATTTTCTTTTACAAATAAAATTATACCCATGCCTTTCTCCTCATAGCTTCAAAATTTGAGGATAATTTATGTCAGGGCTGTAACATGCCTTTTCACTTATCTTACTAACATGGAAAATCCAACCTTACTCCTTGCCTTCTCATTACTGCATCAGTCTACTTGCTTAAGATTTTAAACAAGAAAATCATGTACAAAGATTGAGTTTTCTTCTTCACGCTTTGCATTCTAATACTTGATATGCCAATTTGCAGTCTTTAACAGTGCCTGACACACAGTAGGTGCTTGCTCAAAAAGTATTTGTTGAATTAATGAAGGAAAGAGAAATTCTTCCTAATTCTATTGATAAAGACTGAACATTCTGAATTCTCTGCAATTTTAGGCATATCCCATTGATTTCAGGTTTCTTATTACTAAATCAGTAACCTCAAATACCACAGGATAACATTAGAATAGTACCTAAACCAGCAAGTTCATTTCTGCAGGTTTCATAATCTCTTGCTTATCCATACCCCTAGAAGGACTTTTGCAGAAATACATCCACACAATTGAGGCACCCAGGAATCCCAAATGGCTAAAGGTCCATATGCTCTTTTTTGTTTTAATATTTTATTTTATTTTGTTGTTGTAAGGTCTATATGCTCTTGAAGCATTGTTTCCTGAATGTCAAACTGACTATCTCCACATGGATAACCCAGGCCTGATGTGCCTAGGAGGTCCATTGTAGATAGGTGTCTTTTTCTAAGAAATCCCACAACTTACTCTTATCAGTCTTTTTTTTTTTTTTCTATTTCTCTTATCAGTCTTTCTTTCTTTTTTTTTTTTTTTAAAGTATCAGCTCTTGCTGGAATTTTAGAACACTAAGGATAGTAACAACTACAGCACAGTATGAACCACCCTAATGAAAGGCACAGGAGCTCTGGTGGCATAGGCATCTGACTGCTAACCAGAAGGCTGGCAGTTCAAACCCATCAGCCACTCCTTGGAAGGAAGACTGGGCAATTCACTTCCATAGAGATACCACCTCGGAAACCCAAGGAGGGGACGGTACCAGTTGAAATTGACTCGACAAGAGTGAGTTTGGTTTTTTGGTTT